TGGTAGAAATTGTTTGTTACAGAACTTCCGTTGTGACTTCTTGGAAAGTGTCCGGGTGGACAGAATCGTATTGCTAGTAACATTGATAGAGGTTAGTTGTACTGGGTAGAGATAACTGAAGTACGTCAATGAGTTGAGAAAGTGTCCGGGTGGACAGAATCCTATTGCTAGTAACATTGATAGAGAGGTTAGCTGTATTGGGTAGAGATAACTGAAGTACGTCAATGAGTTGAGAAAGTGTCCGGGTGGACAGAATCTTATTGCTAGTAACATTGATAGAGATGTTAGTTTGTACTTGATAGAGATCACTCAAGTACCGTCAATGAGTTAAGAAAGTGTCTGGGTGGACAGAATCTTATTGCTAGTAACATTGATAGAGAGGTTAGCTGTACTTGATAGAGATCACTGAAGTACCGTCAATGAGTTGAGAAAGTGTCCGGGTGGACAGAATTTTATTGCTAGTAACATTGATAGAGAGGTTAGTTGTATTGGGTAGAGATAACTGAAGTACGTCAATGAGTTGAGAAAGTGTCCGGGTGGACAGAAAATACATGCCTCGATGTCCGTTGTGATGCAAAATTGTTTGATACATACAAAACTTATATTGCGTCTTCTTGGAAAGTGTCCGCGTGGACAGAAAGAACAATAGCTTCGTTTTAGATTCTCTATCACATCGGGTTTTACTCAGGTCTGACTTTTGACCCGAGAAGGGTTTTCCTACTGGACCCGATACCTGACCCGGATCCGACCCGAAAATTTTCCATGAAAACCCGGCACTCGGGTCGGGTACATTTAGTCAATGGACCCGGACCCGACCCGAAAGACCCTAAAACCCACCGATCCTTAGTGGTGTCACATGATTTTCCAGGAGCAGGTACAGATTTGTACCTGCTCCTCCACGTTTGCAACATCAAGCAGCATGCAAATCGACGTTGAGTGGGTTCAGATTTGTACCTGCTCGGAGCTCCAGAAAGCTTGTAATATTACTGAAAGGACCCTTTAATCTTCTTACGCAAAAAGTGCTCAGGACTCAAATATTTGCCAAATGATAACTATTCGCCAAATATTTGTCGAATCAAACACAAATATTTGGCGAATAGGAAACATTCTGCAAATACTTTACAAATCAATTAGGCAAATATCTATTTGTCAAATATATTTGGGCAAATCAAATATTGTAAAGCATTTGACAAGTGGTATGTCAAATATTTGGCCAGTCAAATGGAGCGTCTGGCATTTGACTGGCGAGTCAAATCAAACGAAGCCACAAGTGGTCACGAGTCAAAAGTAGCAAAATATTTGACTTGATTTGACTCGTGGCAGACCCTTGGCCCGCAAAGTACAAGAACGGAGACAAAACAGAACCTTGAAAAAGACCAAAAACAAATCGGTAGCATGATTTTCTATAATGACCTGAGAAGAACAACTATCAAACATACTCATCAAAACAGAGATCAAACGGTTTGGAATTCTGGGAAATTGACGAAGACGTTCCCACAAAAGAGGCCTATGCACAGTATTATACGCTACTTTAATATCTAAGAAAACAACAATAAGGTAGAGCAGTGCGGGACGCCCTTCGAAGGGTAGCATCTAATGCAAAACACACTCAACACCTGAACGATTGGCCTGGAAACCAGCTTGGGTGGGTTCAAGTTTACCAACATAAGCTACAAGCATAGGAAGCAGGGTGCGCTCAAAGATTCTTCTATCAACATTGGTTAAAGTAATGGGGCGGTACTGACTAATATCACCAATGGAGCCCTTATTCTTCCAAACAGGTAACAACAAGCCAGCATTCCAGGCAGAGGGCGACAAACCTGAACGGAAAATAGCGTTTGAAAGTTGAACAAAAAGGATAGCAACATCAGAAGCTAACGGCTTAAATAACTCAGCTGGAATATGGTTTGGGCCAGGAGCAGAGTTGTTTGGGGAAGAACGAATAGCACAAACAAAGTCACTAACACTAACTGACACAGAATCATTCAGCGCATGTAGACGAACGTGTTCTGCACTGGCAGAGGATTGTGCAAACTGAGTCTGATAAACGGAGGCAAAGTGATTGCGATAATGAGATAAAGAGGCAGGATCAGACAGTAAACCACTTGCAGCTGAGCGCCGTTGATGACACCTACGCGCAGTGGAAAGAACTTTGCTAACCTCGGTTAAAGAACTGGGAGAAGAACTAAACATATTGTCGCCAGAAGCCTCTCGAGCTCGCTGAGAAAGAGACCAAGTACGAATAGCTTTGACACGCTCACGCGATAGCCGGTCACGCTCCAAGCGGCAATACTCAACTAAACCAGGATCAGGATCATCACAGGAAGAAACAGCTAAATAGTGCTTATGAGCAAGTAAGTAGCTCCGTCGCAAGGCCACTAAATGCGGCGGCAACAATGGCAGGGCAGGGCGACGGCGAACTAAACTGGGGGGTCCAATGACACAAGCAGCACACGAAGTAACAAAGGAAAAAATAATATCCAATGCAGAGTCAATACATCCCTGTGCAACATCCACAGACATTTGGGCAAAGGCGGGAGCTTCTAAAATTGGACTGAGTGCAGCATTGACATCAGCAAGGGTGGGATCAAAAAACAAATGTCCCACATCCTCCATTGCTTGAAAGACAGCAGGTTCACGCAACAGATGAGCAGCCCAGCGCTTGTGGGGGGGTGCAGCAGAGGGAGCGCTGGCATTGGGAGGAGCAAAAGAAAAAACAGCTGTAACCGGAAAATGGTCAGAAGCCCAAGGCATAAACTCGCCGTCGGCTAGACGACTATGAACTATGTAAGAAATAGGATCACATTGAAGCAGAGGATTGACAAACAACAAATCGATAATGGAGTCACCATTGCGAGAAGAAAATGTGGGGTTATGACAGGAAGGGTGCTTAACCAGAGAGAAACTAGCGGCAGAAATAAATTGCTCAAACAACCTACCCCTAAGATTTGAAGAATGATCACCAGTAGCTAAAAAACGGGCATTGAAATCGCCCAACAAAAGAACAGGGCACGGAGACGACGGGACATGTTGAGGAAGTGAAGCAATAAACTCTTCAAGGAAGGGGTCCTGAGCAATACCACACGGAGGCAAATAATACCCTCCAACCAAAAGCCCACGAAATGTAAACCATAGAGAGGTGCCACCATAACTAGAAACGAGACGGAAATCAGAAGCTCTACAAAGACTGCGATTGATCAAGACTCCCACACCAGCCTGTCGTGTACCCGATGACCCAGGAGAAAAACGAGTGTCAAAAATCAAATCTGGAGAAGGCAGCGGGTCTAAAGGAAAAAGGTGTGTTTCAGTCAGGAGCAGAAAAACAATGTGATTTGCGCGCATAAAACGAAACAGTGAATCAAGAACTCCAAAGCTCAAATTGCGACAATTGAAGGTACCAACTCGAACACTAATCATTGACGAAGATGGGTTGAGCGAGGCTGACGCGCAATCCCGCGGGCACTGTCCAGCACAGTTTCCTGAGCATCCATGGGGAGCTGACCACGGACATACAGGAAAATAGCAGGATCAGTAACTGAACTGAGGATATGTGCATATCTCTTGTGGACAACTTCCCTGACCGCAGCCTCCCGCTGCTCCAAAGGCAGAGTAGAGGCTCGGCGAAGAAAGTCAGGGTTTGATTCGTCAGTGGAAGCTTCCTGGGTGGAGAAGTGCGCACGGAGAGCAATTGCGGTTGAGCGAATACAGATAAAGGAAGCAATGTTGCGACCAACGAAACTGATGTGGCGGATACCACGCACCACCTCATCGCCCAAGAGAGCCCTCAGCATGGTCCGCACAAAGCCGAGCCGCTGTCTCATGATGTCCTTGATGTACACAGTGGTCAAATCATCCACACGGGCCTGAAGATCAGCAGGTGGGGAGACCAGCAGCGGAGAGGTCAGAGGATAGAATACGACAGGCCGAGGGCCACAAAGGCTGACATTCGAAGTGGGGTCACGACCAGCAAGGGCAGTCCTGACAGCTTCTGTACGAGATTCAGCACTCAGTGTGGGGAGACTCTCAAGCACACGGGCACGGGCATTGGCAGCAGCAGCGGCATAAGTGCGTGGACCACGAGGTCCACGTGGGGCAGGTCGACTAGACGGGGGGCGAGGGCCAGGAGCACCAGAGTTCCCAAGATTGTCCTGAATTGAAGGATTACCATGCAGTTGTCTAGGGGGAAGGCACACAGGCGCAGCCACATCATCATGGAGGGAGACAGGGGCAACCGGAGGTGAAGGCGAAGGCAGCGGCCTCCCAAAGCGACCCACCAGATCCTCGGCCATATCACGACAAACACTAAAAAATTCAGCAGGAGTGTCCCTCGGCAAGTGTGCAAGCATAGGATCCAGCATCGCCAACGGATCAAAGGTTGCACAAACAGATCGCATCTGAGTGAGAACAACACGGAGATCGGCCAGAGATGCAACACTCGAGGGAGCAGCCACAGCAGCAAGAACCCGGACACCCGGCAGATGTGATCGGGAACGAGAACGGGAGCGACCACGGGGCAATTCATGTTCAGCAGGTCTTTTGGCGCGTCGGTCACGTGATCGGAAGTCACGTGATTCGGCATTTTCATCCTCCCCCATATTCACATCATCGGCCCAGTGAATTGGAGAGGCAGGAGCGGAGAATGGAAGCTGTGGAGCGGAATTTTCAACAGAGGAGGCACGGGGGTGCGAACGGGCCTCAAAAATCACGGTGCCACCAGAAAGTCCATCAGGGGGCACAGCGGGGGGTGCGGCGGGCGGCGCGGCATGCGGCGCATCAGGCGGCTGCGCATGCGGAGCGCTGGGAGGCGGCATTGATTTTAGAGAGAGAGAGAGAGAGAGAGAGAGAGAGAGAGAGAGAGAGGGAGAGAGAGAGGTTTTTTTTTTTTTTTTTGAACTTCATAATATGTATTTATTGTCCAACCAATACATATCACCCGCTGGTGCAAAATCCAAATACAAGTGTAAAAATACACGTAAATTGGCAGCACATGGGGTCTATAAGGTGATATGGCCGAGTTGGTTAAGGCGTGGGTCTCAAGTTCCCATCTCGAAAGAGGCAGGAGTTCGAATCTCCTTGCCTCCATAGGGAGGAAAGTTATAAAATGGAACTATTAGTTTTCGATAACATTCCCGTTGATGTAATTTTGGAATATTTTTCTTCTGAAAGACTAGAGAGTGAAGGGTAAGTTTGGGTGTCGCCCCACCAACTAAAATTTAAGAAAATCTTTATTTACCATCGGTGAGTCCAGCGTGTAGAAATGAACCAAAAACAACAGTGCGTCAGAGACCAACAAGACAAACAGTCTCGCCATGAACATGCCCATTTTAAGTTCTCCCTTTGTTCGCGTAAAGCTGATTCGCATTTCGAGACCCATTCGTCCACGAGAACCTCAATGTGCCCATTCACACTTCCGTCCAGGTGCACCGACTCCATGTACTCGGCAAGCGGGCGTGGCCAGGTTGCAGTTCTCGAATGGTGGAAACAAAGTGGGTGTAGCCTAGGAAGATTCCAGAGTGATAGAACTCAGCAAGCGAGAACGGTCCTCTCGAGGTTCCAAATGGTGGGCGGACTTTGCTTGAGATAATATTCGCACAGAGCGCAATGGCAAGCAAATCGATTCCGGTCCTGGATTGGTGGAAATAGAGCGGTCTAGCCGCGCTTATAGTGGTACGAACCCATTTTTGGCGCGCCAGCTTTCTACGTCGGTTCTTGAATGGGGTGAGAACAAGCAAGCTTGAGTTTATTTGGGGAAGCGAATGCTATGTACTCGCTCCAGCATATTAGGTTCAATTTCACGTCCTGGATTGGTGGAAGTCCGGTGAAATGCAACTGACGTGGAGCAGAGTACAATTGACAACGCGACAGTGAACCAGGCGATGTGGACGCCATCGAGTGGTTAAAGTCCAGCGGGTTGAAACTGAAATATACTGCACACAGACGATGAAACGGTGTATCTGAGAAAGGACACGTCAATTGGTGGAAGCGAGCGCCCGCTAATTTCAATGGACAGCCAATATCAATGGATTGCACTTCCGAACGTGTAGACTTAATCGATTGGTGGAAATCGAGCTGGTCTAGGTCTGAAAGGGAGTCAATACGCAATGGACTGTGCGAAACGATGAAGTTTGGCCAACAAGGAAGATCATCTTGATCGGTGGAGCTGAAATGGGAGAAGGATCGAGGGCGAGAATTGTCATGGCATGGCAGCGGACTCCGAAATAAAATAAACAATGATGAAAATGACATCGATCAAGTTTGCAGAAACTGCCACTTCACCAGCCCGAATTGTGTGCACACGGATGTCAGAGTTGCCATGACGTATTCCTGGCATCTTGTTCCACCCAATCAAGGACGACGCAAAATTTGTTCGACTTGAAGCGGATCGGGGTGTCCAATGATGGGAGAAGACGATTCGGAACACTCGGAAACATATCAAGAGACGTGTAGCTCCTCCGCTTGAAGATTCATTCAACGGTCATGCACGATTCCATTCAAAACAGTGAATTCTATGAAGGAATCATGGCTGGAACAACTTGAACGTAGAGATGTCTGTGTCGAAAGTCGCTTCTGATCTTTTCTGACTCGGGATGCTTCCCTTGGTAAGTTAGCTGTACATAGATCCAAGATCGTACTATTTTTTCCATTTTTTTTTGGTTCCAACTGGATCACAAGCCACCCGAAACTTCACGATGTCGAGCAGCAAAGCGACCGAATGCCCAGTCGACCACTCGAGCATGAAGAAGGGAAATCGGGCGGACGGGGTGGCATGCCCGGTCGACCATTCAAAGATGGGCGGTGAACAGCTGAACCCTCTCAACATGATGCCGAAACTGGGCCAGGAGATGGCTGCTGGCCAAACTACACCACTCCCGACCAGTCGAGAAGACTCTACCATCCCGAAAGGCCAGTCTTCTACTTCCGCAGAGACGTGGGAGTACCCTTCTCCACAGGTGAGCCCCGCAATGTGGTCATGATTGGAACCCAAGAATCTCAAGTATGACCGTTTTTCGAACAGCAATTCTACAACGCACTGAAACGGAAAGGATGGGAAACGCCGGTGGAAGATGTTCCTGTGATGGTGCAGATCCACAACTTTTTGAACGAGGCGTGCTGGGGGGAGATTTTGAAGTGGGAGCAAAAGTATCACTGGTAAGGTCGCAAATCGATCGGCCGTGCGGAAAATAGGGATTTGATTTATTTTATCTTTCGTTTGGAATAGTGAATGCAAGAACCCTACACTGCTTAGGTTCAAAGGACGGCCGCAGGAGTTGAGTCCAAAGGCTCGTATGATGATGGCAATGGGGTACGATGAACATTTGGTTTCTTGTTGTTGAATTGTGATTAAAACAAGGCATTGTAGTGCGGAGCGTCCGTTTGATCGCCACGACTGGATGGTAGACCGTTGCGGTACGGAGGTGCGATACGTGATCGATTACTACAGCGCAGCGCCGGAGGGTGGAAGTCCAGTGTTCCATCTCGACGTACGACCTGCGCTTGACTCCCCGACGGCACTATTAGATCGGGGACGGTCCATGTTTTCGGAGATCATGCAGAAATGTTTTCCATCGTCGAATGGGGCTCGTTCGGGAGCTGTTGAGAAGTAATTTTGTTTTTACATTTTCTGATGCGATAACGATAAAATAAAATCGATGGGACTATTGAGCAGCGGACGGAAGGTTGTCTCGGTACATTATTCATAGCTTAGATTAGGCATTTAAGCATAGATATTAAGAATACACTCATAGAAATCGCTGGAAGCTCACTGATAGGTGATATTATCGAAGGCCGGACGTCTTGGCTCTCACAAGCACTGCGAGTACTATTATATAAGAGAAATATAATGGTAAGCGTTGATCATCAGGCATGGTGGTGCAAACAACTTACATAGTCATTAGAGAATGTGCTAAAACGGTTGAAGTAGGAAATAGGGAGTTGTGTGTATTAAAGTTGCGAATAGGTTTTCTGATGCGAGTTTAACATACCAGGTACTGCCCGCGACACAGCATTTAGGCCCGGTCCAGTTCTGTCCACCGCACTGAAAAGAAGATCGCAATGTGAGGGATAGTTATGATTATGCTTGATCTTTCAATACCTGGCCATATTTAGCGGCACAGTTTCCGCCACCACCACTGGATGGAGAGGTGGTTGTGGCCGGGGCGGATGTTGTGACTGTCCTCGTTGTAGTTGTAGTTGTGGTGGTTGGAGTGCCTCCACCACCACCACCAGGAGCCGACTGAACAGAAAACGTTATCATCAGTGGACAAGGTAACTAAATGAATACGCCTTACAGTGGTGCACTTGACAAGGCCGCTGCAGAGGGTGAACGACCTGACGGTGACGGAGCCACCGAGCGCTGAGGTAGCGTGATTAAAGATTCCAAACCTGTAGCCCATGAAGAACTGCCAGTCCGAGTTCATTGTGAACGCAGAGCCGAAGTTGACAAAAGAGTTTCCGTCCAAACTGTACGAGAATGTAGCCTGCTTGTTCCCACCCGGCGCAATGTTTGCAGCAATGCTGAGCCAGATACGAGATCCCGAGACGCTCTGCCTTGCGACCTCGACGCCGGTGTTGGAAGTCGACCAGTCTGAAGCCATGTTGATGGAGTTGACCATGACGACGTAGGTGGATGAGCCTTCTTTCTTGATTCCGATGTAGGCGGACTTGTCCCTGAAGAGCGCAAGACCGGCGCGGTCGCCAGCGGCCATGTTTGCAAAGTCGAGGATGATGGTGCCGGTTGAAGACGGACCGAGGATGCGGCGGGTGAGGGTGTTGCGAGCGCGGTAGATGTCGTTTGTGACTGTGGCGGTTTGGAGGACAATGCCGGAGTTCAGGGACCATTTGGTGTTGTCGGGGTTGTGGTTCCATTCCCATTCTGGGCCGAAGGAGGCGAAAGTGTCGGTGCCGGTTAGTAACTTTGCAGACGCTTGTGCAACAGGGTAGTCGTAGGAAGCGCCCCATCCGCCGTTTGAGAGGGTGACAGAGGGGAACCCGTCGGAACCCCAGGTGATGGGAGCGAGAACGGGGATGCGACCGCCCGGATATGCGTCGATGAAGGACATGTAGTACCACTGGTTGTTGGGCGTGCTGACGATGCCACCCTGGTGCGGGAAACCAGATCCAGACACAGGAGATCGGACGCTGTTGACGAGGTTTTTGATGGTGTAAGGGCCAAATGGACCACTTGTGGACATGAGGACGAGCTCCTGGGCGGCGGGATGGGTGACAAAGATGTAGTAACGGCCGTTGACCTTGTAGAATCTGCTGCCTTCGATGGTGCCGATAGACGATGGGGCGGAGTAGACGACCTGCGAGCGAACTTCGGAGAGACCGTCGGAGGAGAGCTGTGCGACGCTGATCTGGGTGTTTCCGTAGGCGACGTACAAGGTGTTGTCGGTGTCGACGAGGAGGCCGGCATCGTAGTAGCATTTGTTGATCACGGACTTACGGGACCACGGTCCGCTCGGGGACGATGCCGTGAAGCTGTAACAACAACGATGAGTTGGGATGTACATGCAAATGTGAGGTGTTTGTTTGCCTACATGTGGGTCTGTGCGAAATCAACGCACCCGCCCCAGTACCAAGTGTTGGTGCTCGCCCGGTAGTTAAAGAACGATGCCCAGATTCCTAAGTAAGCAAATGATGGACACGATGGTCAGACCCATAACTAACCCAAAATCTCACTGCGGGATGGTCGCGCGGTTCCTTCCTTTTACGCGTCCCATCCTTTCTATTATCCGTGATCAGTCCTCCCGATATCTCACTACGGCTCTTCGCACAGTTCCTTCCATTGACGCCTTGCTTCTTTTCTATTTCTATTACCTCTAACGTAACCGGATTGACCATTGGTCAAGTCGTATTTTGAGCCAAAGGGAGCCAGGGAAGGGACGGCATGACCAACGTATTCCCAGTTGACCAAGTCATCCGATTTGAGGATTGGAGCACCGGGAGAGTAGTGCATAGTTGGAAGCGCAGTAGTAGTAAGTAGAACCGACACGAATGACATCGAGATCGGCGAGATCATTCCAGATGACGGGGTTGTTGAAAGTCGCAGCATTGATCAAGACAGCGAAAGCAGATACAAG